TATTGTGAATTATGTGGTAGTTTACATGGGAGAACATTAGTTTTACATTCATCCTATTGTACATTGTTTCATTGCCATGGCTACAGTCCCCTCCATGTATCATCAACCAAAGGATATATCCTACAAGCCTGCCCCCCGGTCGTCAGCACACAGACCATTTGCCCCTCTGGGTCTAAAGTCCCCAGCTGCTCTATCTCTCCATGTCATTGTCTCTGTCTCCATCTCTTATGTCACTGCTTCTCTGGGTAGGGTCCCGCTCTCCGCTTTTTTCCCTTGATGGTCCCAGGGATCTCTGCTCCTAGACTGCAAAATCAGTCACTCCCCTTCTTTTGCTACAAAATGTCTACCGTTAACATTTCCAACCCTCACAGTCGGTCCTGATAACAGTTATTCACTATTGTATCACAAGAGACCTATCCCCATCTCCTTTCATCAGCCCCACCCAGACAGATTATATACTACTCAGTGGAGATTCTACATTTCTTCATGCCCTCTGGATCTAGGTTCCCTCTTGAAAGCTTGTAAGCCAGTCACTTCTTGCCTTTGTAGCCCCCCCTCCCCCCACTTTGGGTAGCCAATGTCCCATTCTTTCATTCTGATGTCTGTGGAATTCTTTTACCAAATATCCCTGGGTTAAATTGTTATTTGAAGACTGACACACAGAGAGGCTCTTGATTATCCAAATTGCTAATGTGCATTGATTTTCTTTTGCAGAAGCTGAGTATCTATGGTGATTTGGAATTTATGAATGAACAAAAGCTGAACAAGTACCCAGCTTCTTCCCTTGTGGTTGTTAGATCTAAAACTGAAGATCATGATGAAGCAGGGCCTCTACCTACAAAAGTGAATCTTGCGCATTCAGAAATTTAAGCTGTTTTTTTGTTTGTTTGTTTGTTTGTTTTTTTAAAAGTGTAATTGACATCTAAATTTCCATTCCTGGTAGGGCTTTCTAAATGGTTTCATTGGGCATCAGGCTTAAGAAATCAGTATGAAATGCAAATAAAGTCACCCAAATCTGTAAAGACTATGTGCTGTAACTTTACCTGTATTTTTTTTCTTTTGTAATATAAAAGATGGATATTTGGGATTGTCTTTTTATTTTACTAATATGTGTAACTACTTTGTTACTTACATTGTTGTTGTGGGTTTTTTTCTGAACCTTATCCAAATCTATGATCTCATCATTCTTTTTCCCTACTTCCTACCATGAAATTGTCAAGTCACCTTAGTTAATAAATTGAGTGCTTAGTAAGATATAATACTTCTGCTCAAAGATGGCCCATAGACATGTAATTTGAGATTTAGTAGGAAATACTCTTTAATTATATTACATTTTCAGTTGTATTGAACTGAAATCATTAAAATTTCATTTGAATATCTATGTGCTGAAATTTGAGTTAATATAGTTTCCTTATCTTCCATTCTATCCCTAACTGACCCAGAAAAGGATTATGAAATGTCCTGTGTCTGATTGCTTTATAATATGATGATCAGGGAACAAACTGAAGCAAAAATGGTCCTCTCAGGAGTGCATTTCATGCTATTTTGGACTGACAGTAGGTTTTTGTTGAATGAGTCTTTCCAAAGAACTATTTTTCTCTGTTAGAAAAGTGTACATATCAGGAGAAGATTTTTCATTTTGACAGGAAGAATTAGACTCTTGTGATACAAAGCTAAGTATAGAATTCATGTGTTGTTAACATTTCCTTACCTACATATAGATTTAAATAAGAGTGATATCAAATAACCTAGTCCAACTCAGTGTCGTTGTACCATGAAATATTAAATAACTTTCCAATCCAACATTATGTTAAATCTCAAGGGCGCTGTTGGCAATACTGTTGTTAAGTGCCCTCGAGTTGGTTCGGACTCATATCGACCCTCTATAGGATTTGAGGCGCTCTGGTAGTGTAGTGGTTACGAATCAAGCTGTGAACCACAAGGTCAGCAGTTCGAAACTACTAGCTGCTCCACGGGAAAAAGATGAGGCGTTCTGCTCCCATAAAGATTAACAGCCTCAAAAACCCTGTACAGGGTTGCTATGAGTCGGAACCGACTCCACGGCACATAACAACAACAATAGGATTTCTGAGGAGCGGCTGGTGAATTTGAACCATGGTTAACAGTCCAGTGCTTATCCTACTGTTAACTGTTAAGTGCTGTTGACTCGGTTCCTACTCACAGGGACCCTATATAAGGTGTCTGCGGCTTTAAATCTTTGCAGGAACAGAAAGCCTCATCTGTATCCCTTGGAGCAGCTGGTGGACTCGAGTTGGGAACCTTGTGGTTCGCAGGACTAAAGTAGTGCTCTGTAAATAAAGTCATACATTTGCCCTACAGCCTAGTCTTCAGCTTTCTGTGAATCTAAAGAAAATGAAATTTAACAGCTAATTAAGGCAAAACGTAGAATCGTTTGCCTAAATTTGGAAGACAGAGGGCTTGAAAGTATGTGGACATATCCAAAGAGGGGCAGAGGAAGCAGTCCTTGACAAGGTAGAGAATTCTCTTTCTTTTTTTTTTGTTTTGTTTTGAGAAAACAGTTACTTAAACATGGAGAATTGTTTATAGTTACTTTAAAAAGAAACAAAAAAGCCCTATTGTCTGTTTCCCATCTAAGATGCATACTTATGTTCCTTAATCAAGCATAGGACTAATTGTAATTCATCATGCATCCAGTGAAGCAAAATGAGGGAAAATGCTATAGATTTATAGAAGTCAGACAGCCTACTGCTAAGAAAGGCCTCCCTTATAAAAACAAAATTAATAGAAAGGAAAGTCTACATTAAAAGGCTATTCAGGATTCTCCTACCTCCCTTGGTTTTGTTTCTCCTTGGTTCCCTACTGAGGTACCCCTGAGCTACCCTCATTGCTCTTGAAAATACTGACCCAAGTTGATTGTAAAGTGTCATCGAGCCAATTCAGCTTATACACAGCAATTCTATATAGCGTTTCTGAAGAACGGCTGGTAGGTTTAAACCTCTGACCTTGTGGATAGCAATTCAGTACTTATTCCACGGTGCCACATCAGGACCCAAGTTTAAAATTTAAATTTAGTTGTTAAATTGCTTTTGAGTTGGTTCCAACCCATAGTAGCCTTGTATAGGGTTTCTGAGGCTGTAAATCTTTACGAGAGCAGAAAACCTCATTCTTTGCCTGTGTTGCTGCTGGTAGTTGCAAACTGCTGACCTTGAGGTTAACAGTCCAACTCAAGCACTATGCTACCAGAGCTCCTTTAAAATTTAGTAGGCCCTCAAATAACTATATCCTGGCTCCCTCCCTCCCCCATGGTTAAACCAAGCAACATTTTCAAGGAGAGTTACTTTCTTGTTTTGAAAGAAAAAGGAAATACTACCACCCCAACAAAAGTAGCAAAACTGACCTTATAGCCCCCTTCTCCTAAAGTAACTTCAGAAGCTCAGCCCCTTTTGAATGACCCCAGTTTTCCTCAGTACTTTGTAGACCGGATTGCCTCTTTCCCATCTTCTGGACTTGTCTGGGCCCTAGGCAAATACCCAAACCCTTTATCTCCTGGTCCAAACCTGTCTTCGGCCTGTTGTCAATAAATGCCGTTGAGTCAGTTGTGACCCAGTAACCCTGTATAAGGTTTCTGAAAAGCGGTTGGTGAGTTTGAACTTCGAACCTTGCAGTTCTACCCCACCTTGAAGGTCCAGTTCTTATCCTACTGTGGCACACCATGACCCCACATCTTTGGCCTAAGAGATAGTTAATCAGGTAATTCTAAAGATAGCAGTCATCACCATAATGAATGATCCAGAAAAATGTTTTCACAAAACTGGTCACCTTTTATTTATAGTAAATCAGAAATTACCAGAATATTTGGGCTATGTATCTTGTCTCCAAAATTACAATTAGGAGCTGAGCTGCTAACCACAAGTTCAGCAGTTCAAATCTACTAGTCACTCCACAGGAGAAAGATGAGATTTTCTGGTCCCGTTAAGCCTCACAGCCTTGGAAGCTCTATACAGGGTCACTGTTAGTGGGAACTGACTCTGGTACCCAACCACCACCACCACCATTAACCTTCTTGAACTGATGCAAAGCCCACTATTTTTATTTTGAGCTGATAATACTAGTCCACAGTGAAGAATCCTATCACTGTTACTGGTTTGGCCTTAGATTAGTTCATGATTTTGACAGTATTACACATGGTTCCATCATTTGTGTGGACTGTGCAACAGGATAATGTACCAGACTGCAAGGTTAGTGTTTCAAGCCCACCAGCCGCTCCTCAGAAACCCTAGACAGGATCGCTATGGGTCAGAACTGACTCAACAGCACTCATCAACAACAATTATCCAAGGACTAAATATTGGGAAGCACTGATATACAGGTTCCTAGAACATTCCTGGCAAAATTAGCCCCTCACCTTAAGAGTATGCTTCATTAACAATGAGTTCACCACCACACCAAGGCAGTGGTTTTGCCCAGATACTACAAAACCCACAGTCCAGCCATTCACTTACCACTGTGAGGGCCTCAGTGCCAACAAAAAAGACCCATTGTTCCAGGTTGCTCAAAGTTTAAAGAAAGTACAGACCATTAATTAGTATGTTCACTGATTATGACTAGATATGGGCACATATAGGAAGGCCTTCTAGAAAGAAATTAGATCCAAGCTTAAACTTGGAAGAAAAAGGAAAACCAAAAGATAGGGAGCAGTCAGTGTAGGCACTGGGAACAGTATACTCAAAGGCCTCAAGATATGAGGATGGGACTACAAAGTGTTTAGTAGGCTGAGATTGAGCATATAAAAGTGTGGCAATTAGGGCTGGAGGGACCAGATCATACAGGACCTTATTAAACCTAGATTTGATTGAGTTGCAGTAATTAAATGGGAGCCATGAAAGGTTTTAAGCAAAAGAGTCAACTGTTTTAGATGATTCATTCAGACAATAGACCTCCAGCAAGATGGTGGACTAGGACTCTACACAGACTCTCTACAGCAAACATACAGGAGACCAAATGAAACAGACAAGTGATAATCCTGGAACATTGAGTTCCAGAGAAAAGGTTAGAGACGTAGATTGAGTACTTACTGGGAGGAGAAGCTGAATAGGCTGGTGAAGAAACAGTCTGCAGCCGGCTTGAACTTTTACAAGCAGCTTTGGAGACAGACTGTGGCTTGGTGGCAGATTTCACATCAGGGAATAGTAATGGAAAAGATGCCATTCCTGCTTATTCCCCGCTCTCCCCTGGTGACCAGAGAGGTGACAGGCCCCCACCCTTGTCCATCCCCAGTGTAGATCCTGCTCTCCAGGAGTTTGGAGCCTTATGGTTCTGAGTTATGCCAGTGTGAGGCAGGTACCAGCTGTGCCACCTTAGTTCCTGCTCCACAGAGCCACCAGGCCAGCATTAGTCTAGCAGAAACCCTCATAACCAGGTGCCCAGCCCCAGCTACCCTCGGGCCTTGAGAGACTGAAACAAACTACATTCATGACATCCATGCCCTTCCGATTTCATGTCCTGAACATAGACAACACCTAGACCTACCGAAAATCCCCCAAAGGCCAGGAACTCCACTGTCACATCTCTCTCCCACCTACCTACCTTGTGAGTCACGTGGCTGGCAGGAGACCCCAGAGTTTTCTGTCTGGATCCAATACCTGCATTGGTTTTTTGTTTTGTTTTTTCCTTTCATTGTTTCATTTTAATGATTTTTTTTTTTCCTTCTTCCTCTTTCCCGTCCCTTGATTTTTATCCTTTCTATCTCTACTTTTGTTTTTCTTCATTTCTTGTTTCTCATTTCCCCCCTTTTTCTTTTTGAAGTCCTGGTGTGGTGATGCAGGTTAATGCACTGGACTGTAAATTCCATTTGAACTGCAAAGTCAGTGGTTCAAGCTCACCAGCCGCTCCTCGGAAACCCTATACAGTGTCACTATGGGTCAGAACTGACTCGACAGCACTTGATAACAACATTCTTCTTTTTTTTCCCTGGGTTTTTGTTTTTTATCCCCTCTCAATTTTCTCTTCTACAACTCCATTTTCCTGATACTCCAGTATTTTTA